ACAGAACAAACCAAATTGCTTATTGCCAGCGGCGGTGGCGAGACGCAGAGAGGTGGAGAAGGGAGAAGGAAGAAGTCACAGATGTGGCCTCTTTCAATAAAATCCCTCATCTTCAGCTGAGCTCACTGTATTGGCTTCACTTCCTTGGTCGTTAGCCCTCCTTGTAAATCAGGGATGCTGTTCAATGACGAGTTGGTTATTGCTTGGGTTGGAAAGTGACCGGTCTTGCTCCCGTGAATGCTTCCAGAAGTTTTCTTCCTGTCACTCTAAGGGCTGATTAATTATTTGGGAATGATGGCTCCCACTTCATTAATGGGACAGGTAGAATGACTTCAGTGACTTCATGGGAGCATTTTGCTTTTAAGAAAAACATAAGGTTCCCTGCATTTGATCCATGTGCATCTTAGTACAGGTTGAACCTCCCTGTCTGTCACTCTCAGGACCTGACCCATCCTGGATGAGGGACTTTGTCAGACCAGAGGAGGTCCTATCTGGCTTCCCAGTGCTGCCTGCCCCCAGGCCTGGACTGGCTGCCATCTGGCTCCCCCCCATCCCACTGCCCTGCCGCGCTGGACAGCCCAGCTGTAGCCCCGCTCCAGTGTGCCAGACTCCCAGCCCCACTGGGCAGCCCCACTGCAGCGCGCTGTACTCCTGGTCCCGCTGGGCAGTCCGCTACCCTGCCGGTCGGCTGGGCTCTTAGTCACCAGCCCTGTACTGGGACTCCCTGGTCCTGGCACATCCATGTTCTGGCAGGACCGTGGATGTTACCGGACCAGAGAGTCCCAGTTTATAGAGGTTCAACCTGCAGAAGCTAATGAATCTTCCTGCGCCTGCTTTCTCCTGCTCAGCCCTGCTCAGGGTCCTGGCTGCCTCGCCTGGAGGGTGTGTTTTATTCCTCACCTAAGGACTGCTGCTTTAGTTCTGGCACAAAGAACGATTGATTGAAGGTCACAGAGGCTGAAGCCCTCTTCTCATTCACAGGTCAGGTACAGTGGGGGCAAGTGCATTGTAGACTTTCCACCATTACATCCTGTAATTCAATCTAATAGGGGTGAGAAGGTAAATGGAGTTCCAGGCGTGGAGTACAGCCACGCATAATATCATTGCCACGGCCTTGTGCTGCCTGTTGTCAGGTGAAAGTTGTTCCTGGTGCCACCGGGCATCCCTGCTTCGTCCAAATATCTCCCCAGCGGCTGCCAACTAATCCCTTCCGTCCCCCGGCCGATGAGCCTTGATTTTGACTCACCGAAATATCCTCCATCTATACGCCTTTCAGCACCTGGTGTTCTTGCGTGGAGCTGTGGCACTTAGAATTATTGAAGCCTTTTGTTTCATCCTGTCTGATCCACCATCACCTGTTTGTTTGGTCCCTTTCCTCTCCATGTGGTAATGAGCATTTTCTCGTGTGTCATTACCCGGCTTTCCATGTGCTTTGTGCTCGCTGGGCATTCATGTTAACGCTGAGTAGAGAGGGCCTTTGCCAACCACTGACCTTTCTGGTTTGCATGCGTTAACGTGAAACCGGGAGACACTAACATCACGAAAAAACAACAACCCCAAATACTAGGATGTTGCGTCTCGAAGCAATAACCGAAAACGACTGGAGATGAACCAGTTTGGTTCCACGGAACGCTCACAACATCCAGGGTGCAGCGGGTTGTTCAGAGAATTTTCCCTCTTGCCAAGGCTTTCAAAAATGTGTGTCTAGACTCAGCGAGGTTCCTAAGCTTTATTTAGGCAATTAAAATGGTGCCTAAGCTTTATTTAGGCAATTAAAATAAGCCTGCGGCGTTCAGCTCCTGTTGTTTTCAGCTTTCAGCACCCATTTTTGAAGATAACAGAGCTCTGTCTTTATGAAGGATACGTCTACACAGCATGCTTATTTTGAAATACGCTATTTCGGATTTATTTCGAAATAGCATATCTACGCTACAAGGAAGCCTCAAAATTAGGCAGGCTTCCCTAATGTGGACGTGCTACCTTGATTTAGAGCCCCAGGAAGCACTGGGGAGTAATTACTATGAATGGCCCTGGGAGGAACTATTTCGAAAGAGCAGCAGTGGCGCATCCACATGACAGCTATTTCAGAATAAGCGTTATTCCTCGTGTAGACGCACCCTCAGTGTTCCGTATTTTGTTTGCCACCCTTGGAGTATCAAGCCCTTTGATAAACGGTTCCGATGTCCTCACACATGGAAACTCTACTTGTCCAGGTACTTCAACGGGTGTCAATTAAACTGCTTGCCAGTTAGACTGAATGGTTAAGAAATGTCTTAGGACCCACTGCTGAGGGTACAGAGCCATCCAAAATGTTATTTACCTTTCAAAAACAGTCACTCCGAGGTGATGTAGCCATGCTGGTATCAGGCTATTAGAAAAAGCAGGTGGCTGAGGTAATATCTATTTAGTTGGTCAAATAAAAATATATTATCTTCCCTGCCTTGTCACTCTAAAGCAGTGTTTCCCAATTGGTGCTCCGTGGAACCCCAGGGTTCCGCGAAGCAAACGTAAGGGTTCCGTGAAAACGTGGCATTGCCCCGCCCTCTCTTAAAGAGACAGAGTATTTTGCAGGTTTTTTTGCTCAACCAATTCTGGCAGGGCTTTCTTTTTCTTTTTCTTTTTCTTTTGCTTTTTCTTTTTCTTTTTCTTTTTCTTTGCTTGCCAAATTTTACCCTGGGAACTCTAGGGGGGGTTCCTTGAAATTATTTTAAGCTGAAAAGGGTTCCGTGGGCAAATAAACACCGGGAAACACTGCTCTAAAGAGATGCCTTTTTCCAAATATGTGGTTCCACAGACAATTAAAAATGCTGTGGGACTTTACAAAAATGCACAGAGGTTACATTTGCAGTGAGGAGGAACACGTGTGCACACACTTTGTGCTGTTGGGCCCAGCTGCTTTGTTCTTGTGAATAGATAGATTAAAAGTTGGTTACAGTCTCTGCCCCCCCCCCACCCCCCTGCCCTGCCGCGCTGGACAGCCCAGCTGTAGCCCCGCTCCAGTGTGCCAGACTCCCAGCCCCACTGGGCAGCCCCACTGCAGCGCGCTGTACTCCTGGTCCCGCTGGGCAGTCCGCTACCCTGCCGGTCGGCTGGGCTCTTAGCCACCAGCCCTGTACTGGGACTCCCTGGTCCTGGCACATCCATGTTCTGGCAGGACCGTGGATGTTACCGGACCAGAGAGTCCCAGTTTATAGAGGTTCAACCTGCAGAAGCTAATGAATCTTCCTGCGCCTGCTTTCTCCTGCTCAGCCCTGCTCAGGGTCCTGGCTGCCTCGCCTGGAGGGTGTGTTTTATTCCTCACCTAAGGACTGCTGCTTTAGTTCTGGCACAAAGAACGATTGATTGAAGGTCACAGAGGCTGAAGCCCTCTTCTCATTCACAGGTCAGGTACAGTGGGGGCAAGTGCATTGTAGACTTTCCACCATTACATCCTGTAATTCAACATTAAAATTTCAATTTTATACAAAAATTAAACACATTTTCAGGAATGGTCCCTAATAGCACTTTGTAAAGTCCTCCATTCAATCATGAAACAGGTGCAGCATAGGTAGAAACAGGACAAGCTTCCCTGAACGAATGGAATGATGGTTCAGAGAGTTTCATGATAAAGAAACAACCTTTTTTTAAAATAAGCCAGAAGTCCTGTCTACACTGCAGTTTCCACAACTGCTACCAGGGAGGAATTAAAAAGATCCAGAAAAATGCTTATATGGTGGTTTCCCTGGTGTAGATGCTACTTGTATTTCAAGTCACGATTCACAAGCTTCCCTGAACGAATGGAATGATGGTTCAGAGAGTTTCATGATAAAGAAACAACCTTTTTTTAAAATAAGCCAGAAGTCCTGTCTACACTGCAGTTTCCACAACTGCTACCAGGGAGGAATTAAAAAGATCCAGAAAAATGCTTATATGGTGGTTTCCCTGGTGTAGATGCTACTTGTATTTCAAGTCACGATTCACACACATCTCCTTTGGGGAGGAGTATAATTGAAATCCTTCATCAAATATTACTAACAAGAGTGCCAGTTATTCTTTTTATGAATTAGAGCCTGTCCACTACGAATTAACATTCAAGTGTAATTCATTTGAGAAAAGGTCAGAGAACCTGAGTCCTTCAGGAAGAAATGCAAGAAAATCTTGTAGCATACAAATGCAACAAGTACCTGTGGGAGCTTAAAAAACAAAACAAAACAGCGTGCCTCTTGAGGAGCCCAATGGTATTCAGAAGCAAAATGCAGGACAATGCGCTATTTCGGATTTATTTCGAAATAGCATATCTACGCTACAAGGAAGCCTCAAAATTAGGCAGGCTTCCCTAATGTGGACGTGCTACCTTGATTTAGAGCCCCAGGAAGCACTGGGGAGTAATTACTATGAATGGCCCTGGGAGGAACTATTTCGAAAGAGCAGCAGTGGCGCATCCACATGACAGCTATTTCAGAATAAGCGTTATTCCTCGTGTAGACGCACCCTCAGTGTTCCGTATTTTGTTTGCCACCCTTGGAGTATCAAGCCCTTTGATAAACGGTTCCGATGTCCTCACACATGGAAACTCTACTTGTCCAGGTACTTCAACGGGTGTCAATTAAACTGCTTGCCAGTTAGACTGAATGGTTAAGAAATGTCTTAGGACCCACTGCTGAGGGTACAGAGCCATCCAAAATGTTATTTACCTTTCAAAAACAGTCACTCCGAGGTGATGTAGCCATGCTGGTATCAGGCTATTAGAAAAAGCAGGTGGCTGAGGTAATATCTATTTAGTTGGTCAAATAAAAATATATTACCTTCCCTGCCTTGTCACTCTAAAGCAGTGTTTCCCAATTGGTGCTCCGTGGAACCCCAGGGTTCCGCGAAGCAAACGTAAGGGTTCCGTGAAAACGTGGCATTGCCCCGCCCTCTCTTAAAGAGACAGAGTATTTTGCAGGTTTTTTTGCTCAACCAATTCTGGCAGGGCTTTCTTTTTCTTTTTCTTTTTCTTTTGCTTTTTCTTTTTCTTTTTCTTTTTCTTTGCTTGCCAAATTTTACCCTGGGAACTCTAGGGGGGGTTCCTTGAAATTATTTTAAGCTGAAAAGGGTTCCGTGGGCAAATAAACACCGGGAAACACTGCTCTAAAGAGATGCCTTTTTCCAAATATGTGGTTCCACAGACAATTAAAAATGCTGTGGGACTTTACAAAAATGCACAGAGGTTACATTTGCAGTGAGGAGGAACACGTGTGCACACACTTTGTGCTGTTGGGCCCAGCTGCTTTGTTCTTGTGAATAGATAGATTAAAAGTTGGTTACAGTCCTGATCTTATTCTTTAAAAAAAAGGGAGGGGAGGAGGAATTGCAAGGGGAAGAAAATCCACCTCAATAACTGTATGAAAGGTTCCCATAAACCAAATAAAATAACTCCTGACATAAAGTTTGCATGAGGTGTACTATGATTCAAAAGCTAAAGATCTGGCCTGGGGTACAAAGCTCATTTAAATTAAGGTGGCTATTAGCATAGTCCCATCCTGTCTGGTTCCTGATGTCTGATCCACACAAGACAACTCTTTCAAGAAGTGCTGTTGCTCTCTAGAAAAGGTCACCAATGCTTACATTCAAACCTGTGTTTTAATTTTTTTTAAGTTGCTTGATGGGGAAAATCCTTGATGGAGCAAGCCTCTAGGTGCCATTTGGGAAACAAAACTGTTACTGCTCCCTGAAAACATGTCGTCCTCGGGCCGTTGGCTTGTCTTTGTAAGCAGCTAACACTCCATTAACGTTTTTCCCGCTAGGTCATCCTGTTTCAATACTGACAGCGCGAACTCTTCCTCATCATCTGTCTATGGCCCTCCCACCACCGCTGCCCCTCAGCCGCTGAAACACGGTGTCCGATCGAAGGCAACTCGGATCCGTCACGCAGGAGAAACTCAACTCAGCATTCTGTTCTTTGCACCGACAGCATCTGACAACCAATGCTCTCACCTCCCAGCAGTGCTGCCGGCCTGTGGAGTGCATTGTTCCCGTTTTCGCTTGTTTCTTGTGGACCTGCAGAATGTCAGTGAGTCCCTGAGGCACTGCCACGCACAGCCCAAATTAGTGACCCTACTGCCACCGTTCCTTCCTGCATCATGGACCAGGAAAAGATCATTACAGGCTGAGCCAGAGGTATTATTATTACCTAACGAAACAGAGAAAGAAGATAGCAAAGTGCATGGGCCTGAGTCTGACTTGCCCCCGTGTAACATTGTTGATTCCAGTAGGTTACGCCTGATGTACATAAGTGTAAATGAGATCTGGATCCAGTTAGCTCAGTCACTTATCACACGTTGAGCCAAATTCACCGCTGGTTGTAACTTGACTGAAGTTAATAGAGCTATGCCAGCCAGAAATATGGCCCTTCATCTTCAAAGAGCTTGCGAACCACTAATCCGTTAATTCTCCCTGCAAGGTAGGTAACTAAACCTCCTTCTCCCCATTTTACAGGTAGGAAGGTTGAGAGTGAGGTGGATGACTTGTGCAGGCTCTCAAAGGGAGGGGGTGTCCCAGCCATGATTAGTGCTCAGAGGTTCCTGACTGCCATGCCTGTCCTCGGCATGCTAGATGATCCTCCATCCCCAGGACCATCAGCTGTATCTTGGTTTCCTGGCGGCCTGTAGCTTGAAGCTGATTGTAGCTGCACCACACTGCTAGCCACTGTACCCATGGGGGCTGGGAAATGATACATTTTGCTACTAAAAATTCCAAATGAAAGTTGTGTCTTAAATACATAAGGCTGGACGCACTCTGGCCCAGACCCCAGGAGAAGAACCCTACCATAAGACTGGCCAGACTGGGTCAGATTAAAGATGCATCTAGCTCAGAGTCCCGTCTGCTGACAGTGGCCAATACCAGATGCCCCAGAGGGAGGGAACACAACAGGTAATCCTCATGTGATCCCTCTCCATTTCCAGACAAAAAGTCTAGCAAAAGTTTAGCCAAGGAAGAACTGTCACACGGTCTCTGTACACCAGGGCTCCACTGGGGGTGTAGCTAACCTACTTCCCAACACAACCGAGCACTGTCCAACTGGAGAACGGGGAGGACTCAGCATTTCCCTTATGCAGCCTCCGCTAGCTGGACTCCTGGTGGCCTGGCAGCTAGGTAAATCTGTCCCTGCTTGGTGGGATTCCCACGCGTCAGTCCTCATCGCTCATCAGCCTCTGCTGGCCCCAGGGCTTGAGTATCGGCTCCCCTGCCCCAGTGGTGGGTAAATCAGGACTGTAACTTTAAATCCTCAGCATTACATTTTCAGTATAGCTAGAGTTGAACTATTTTAAGTTGCATCCACGGGCCTAGTAGGAAGAAGTGACGACTGAGGCCACGCAACAGCCAGGCAAGGCCAGTGTGTGATTTTTTTTTTTAAGGCCATGCTAGTAGATCTGGCAACTTCTTTTATACGATTACCTCAGTCTTTTTGTTGTAGCCCATTTCTGGTGCTTCTCAGTTACTCCTGCCTAATGCTCATGGAGGGCCGGGGAGAGACGGGGAGCATAGAGCTCCATCAGCCACTCGTCAGCCTACGGCCCTCTCTGCTGAGTGCTTGCTCTCACGAGCAGTCTCATTGCAACCACAGAGTTCGGGCTCAACAGCCTGCCAGAACCAGGAAAGAAACCCTGCAAAGATCCTTCCTAGAGAGTAATAATAAAGGGGCAACCAATGCTTGAACCCCCCCTGTCTGTTTACCCCACCCCACTGTAACAAAATCTCTCTCCTGGGTGTGCTCCCGCCAGCTTTGCTGGTGCGATTGGAAGGCAGCTTGTCCAAGGATGTGAGGATGTGTCCTGCTGGTCCATGTGTGAGACCCATCCCTTTCTGTGGCTCATCCACAGAGACCGAGTCCACCGCTACGCTGCGCAGCTGGCTTTCCAGCTCACGCTGCAGAGATGCCTGCGTTTAGGTGCCTGGTTCAATCTCGCGGCAGTCGCACGAAGCCTTCATCCTGCCACTAGACCAGGAGGATTTCCAACACTGCAACATCTTTCCTAGTTGGGGTCCCGATCCGTGGGCGGCGCGGGTGAAGGCCCAGCTGAGGAAGGCAAGTCCCATCCCCGCCTCTTCCACTCCAAGGGCCTGCCCCTTCCCACCCGGGAGCCAAGCCCCATCCAACCCCAGCCTGATTCTTCCAGGCGACCTGGAGGGTTGGAGCTTCCCCAGCCTTCCCCGGCTGCGGGGTATGCAGGCAGTTTTGGGAAGGCTGTGCCTTCCCTTGTCTACATTACTCGCCACCCATGAATCAAGCCTCCTGGGCCTGGAGGTCTAGTTCACCATGAGCAGGTGTTCACTGAAGGACAGCGCAGAATGAGCAGATGTGGCTTTCTGTTGAGCAAACACACCCCGCGAGATGTGCCGAAATAAGGAGCCAGCGCGCCGCGTTGCATCCGTTCGTTGTTACAATAACTCAGCTAAGCTGACTGTACCCCAGAGCTAGCAGTGTTAGCCACACTTTAACACTGGAAAGGGCAGAAGTTAGAAGTCCATAAAATACGATTATTCACCTCCTGACGGATTAATAATAGTTTCCATTCAATTCAACCAGTCATGAGACTGGTGTCTACCCATTTGCATCTGCAATCTGATTGGTTCCCTGTGTTCCAGAACTCAGTATTATTGCCTCTCTGTGGAGGTGCATGGGAAAAACGTGCATCTGTTTTCAGTCAATCGGCCAGATTTTTTTTTCTTTTTGTGCGTAACAACAAGCGAGAGAACCGGGCAATGGCTTTTTGTTCACTGTAGCTGAGCATTCGGGTTGCTGGTGTGTCACAGCGAGGGTGCAGTGAGTGGGTCTGTGTCCACATGACATGGCACTGATGGCGACACTTTCTTCCCCCCCTCTTTGCTTGCGCATTCTAATGACTGTTTTTGTTGTGGCACTAGTGTAATACAGTGATGGGTAGCTGTTCAGTTTGACTGTGAGGATGAGACTCCAGACTGTAGTTTGACCCTCATGCCATGGTAACTGTGATTTCTACAACCCTGTTTTATTGAGGGAGACAGAGGTTGGATGCCTTTCCCCTTTGTCTCGGCAGCATTATGGAGGGAGATGGCAGAATATATCTGCTACACAACTACTTTGTTACTGATCCAATTTGACTTGTAATATGTACTGTAAATCAAAGTTTTTAACTGTTACCATTGACAGGATCAGAATGCAAAGCACAGGGCTCACGTGTAGACATTTCTGACCAAATATATATCATGTAAATGGAGTCACCACTAGCTGTGTAAAGAGTATTGGACTGTATAACCCACGCTCAAGGAAGATGTCCTCAGTAAGTAGCCACAAGCAGCTTTGCTAACTCAGAGATCAGACTCTGATGCATTAAGCCCAAATTGTTTGGAAGAACTGGAAGCAATTCAGCTTGTGCAGTTTTGGAGCTAATTATTGTGTATGGAAAATACTCAACTGTACCAAGAATGTAAGAAATCCTCTAATTTATTCAATACTTTGTTTCACAATGCATTTCACATTGACTATTGCCATTGAACAAAACCTTATCTCAGGTCATTCGCATTCATCTCCTTTCTGTAGATTTTTTTTTAAAAATCCTTCTCATTTATTTAGTTTATTCAATAATTGCCAAATGGTTATGGTGCAGTGCTGCAGACTCGGTGTACTATAATTTTCTAGTGGCTATGTACAAAAAATGTTCTCGATTAAACCCAATGAGGATAGCCAGTGAAAGATGAACTTTCCACTAGAATTTAATATGATAAATAAATCGGATGGGGAGAGGGACTGAAAATGGAGTAGTTTAAAATGTTATTCCAAAAAAATTTTTTTTGCTCATGGTGGTTAACCCCGATGCCCTAAATCCTGCACTATTGCTGTCACTGATCTATTCAGACCTTGTAATAAGAGGCCAACTATAAACACTTTTCAGAGTTTTATTTCGAAAGCAGATCATTTTGTTGTAGCATGTTGCAGTTACGCAGGTCTTGGCTACAATGGTTAAAAAATCCTTTTGAATGAGTGGACGGTCAAGACTAATATTTATTGAAAAAACAAAAACTAAATTGTAAGCACTTTTTTGTAAAACCAATGTCTGTTTTGTTACATACTTTTAATGTTGTGCTTTGTAAATGTCTGATTTGTGTAATAAATAAAGTTAATGCAAGTAGAAGTGCTGGCACTTACATCAAGAAAATGATGTAATTCCATTTTATTTGATTTTAAAATATTTCCTGGCTTACTAATCAAACAGCAACCCACCCAGTTTTTCTTTTATTATTTTGTGAAAAGAGAGTTCAACAAATGTTCCTGGTAAATGGATATAATTTCCTAGTTGGCAAACCAGTCATTAAAGAATAACTATAGTGTACGTTATTACAACGATCAATCAATATCAAAGTACTGAGCAAAAGAAGGGTAAAGAAAACACACCAAGACAGCTAACTAGGACCTGGGGAAATAATGCTAAGATGGAGCTGAATGCCTTCAGCACTGAATTTGAGGCAGTCTCTTTAGTAAATGGTTTTGCACGTTGAGGCTTAATAATATGTATATATTGATCCTACCACATGGCACACCTCTCGGGAATATTAGGGTAAGTATAGTAAGCTTATTTCCATGTGAACGTTGTTGATTAAATGATGGTTCCAATTTTATTATGCTAACAAAGGCTACAAAAACTACATTCACATAATGGTAGGGGCTGAGCTAAATCCACAAAGACATTCAAATTTAAGGATGAATCAAATGATGTGTTTTCCAAAATCAGGGGAGAAGCTAAAGCTGTGTTCACTCTTTAGATTTATAGCCAGTTATTTCATCCCAGCCTTTCCGGCAGGTGCGAATGATCCATTCGTGTTCATCATCATCTGAAAGAGAGAAAAAGAAATTGTCAAATTTTACAGATTCAAATCTGCTCTCTGCACAGAGGAGCCCAGATCAGACAGGTTTTCTTTGAGGAAAAAACGTATTTTAAAAATATGTCTTGCTTAGCCAACAGATCCGGTGTACAATTTTGTTGGCATTCACCAAGATTAAAAGATATATAACAGACAGAAGTGAGACAGGATTTATGGTAATAGATCTGATCGTTAGGCCATTTGATCAAATTAACTGTTTGGAATGCATGCAAAAAACTGTAAGGCTTCCTTCTATTCAGTATCATTTCTGATGGCTCATGGTCATTTACAGAAGCTACAAGAACCAATAATGAGGACATAGAACTTTAGTGATGTTGGTGTCAAGTTTATGAAAACTGCAATTAATGAAAAGTCCAGAGTCAAAGTCCTGGTTCATTTGAGGTTTTTTTTACAGCTTTTCTTCCAGGATTGTTATACAAAAATGCCACATTATAACAGAGAGCAACAAGCTGAGGTACCAGCTGATAGTAGTACTTCAGGCAATCTTCTGCATTTCTCACAATTATTCAATGTCTGTCATGTTACGTGACAATGTAAAAAGTGTAAACCAAAGAGGCAATTTGGAGAAAACATCTATCCAGCAAACTGTCAATAGAAATATTTTGAACAATTACAGAAAATCATAATTAGAGTCTGTCACTTGAAAGGACTAAAACAGCTTGTCCGAAAAACCTGTTTCACGGACTTTTATTTGTATTGGGAACTGACAAAAAATCTGTGTAGTAGATCAGTTAAAAATATGATATTGCTTTAAATGGCACCAGTATCTATTTTCTTATTCCAGTGAAACATACTGTAGCGGAGCTACTTTTGTCTACTCTCATCTTTACAAATTCTGATCAACCTTTACAATTTGTGCTTCTCACCAACGTGGTTCCCAATGTCAAGGGCTCTTTAGCAATGCAATCCGCAGTGCTTACCTGCAAGAACATACTGACCTTGTCAATGATAGATTTTAAAAAAAGAAACATGGTGTTAGTGAGGAATCAGCTATTGAAGGGAGACTCTTGATTATGAGTTGGGCCTTGCCTATGTTTATATAGCAACTCTGAAATTTAAAAAGTCATATAAATGCAGCAGCACTGATCTAAGCAGGAGAGACACAAACAAAGGGTATATAGCAAAAGAGGGGCCCTTCATTAAAATTTTAGTTTTGTTCTTAAGTCCCATTGACTTCAGTGGGATCAAACCCCATCTGTTCTTGTCTTTTCCTTTGTCACCTTCCTTTTTCTTTCCCTGTTTCCCTTTCCTTTTTTCCCTGCCACCTATCTTTTTTCGTTTACGGTCAAATGACACAAATGCAAGCACTCCCGTTCTGGGGGGGGGGCTGTCTCAAGTCTCAACGGTGACACTTGTCACACCATCCTCTACAAACAGCAGCCAGAGATGCTTAGGAATCAGAGGTTCCCCCCAAGGGCACGCTACTGTGTGTTACTCTTCTGCACACACACTACTTCAGAAACAAAGCCACTATCTGTGCTTGTCACCGCTCGCACCCCGGGATGATGTTTTGTAAAAGCTTTCTCGGCTATGAACGGGGCTGGGAAAAAATGGCAGTATTACCCGTGATCTCTTTCGTCAGCTTAGCCTGTAGATGTGCTTTACTTGCTACCACACGTGACAGCGATGTCATTTTGGTAAGAGACCCCAAGTGGATACTCATCTTTCTTTGTCCACCTGAGCAGGTATATGACAGATCTTTTGCTCTATTCCCTGGTATAAATGCAACATTAATAAAACACCCAATTATAGTGTCCTTTCTGTCTGTCTCAAAAGAAAGAAGCCAGGAGAAAATAAGCACGACTAAAAAAATGCCTTTTTTTAAAGGATGACTAAAAAGAAGAGGAAAAAACAGTGAGTTTAAGCTCAGACACTGAAATCCTGAGGGAGACATATTGCACTGAAAGCTGTGATAGAACAGCAACGTTGTCCTCTATAGATATGTCTGCAGTGCAATTAAACGCCTATGGCTGGCCCAGGCCAGCTGACTCGGGTTTGTAGGCTTGGACTGTCGGGCTATAAAACTTCAGGGTAACTGTTTGGCCTCACTGGAGTCCAAGCTGTGAAACCCTGCAAGGGGAAAAGGTTCCAGAGCCCAGGACTGGGAATACTCAATAAATCATGGGAAAGCTGTAATTATTATGCATGTCAAATTCTATTTCTGCAGTCCAGATGCTCCGATAGTATGGAGAGGAGGCAATGTAAGTACTTAGATGAGCTACAGTGTCTGGACTCTTCGGCTAAGTCTACACTGGCACTTTACAGCACTGTCACTTCTGACTTGGGGTGTGTGTGTGTGAAACCCCTCCCCCCCCCCAAGCACAGCAAGTGACAGCGCTGTAAAGCTCCAGTATGAACCAGGCTACAGCATGCTGTTAGTTACTCCCCTTGTGGAGGTGGTTTGCAGAGAGCGTTGAACCCTGGTCTACACTAGGGCTTTATTTCGAAATAACGCCCCCCCTTAGGTCGAATTAATAAGTGGAGCATCCACACTACAAGCCCGTTATTTCAAACTCTGTACTCCTGCTTTCCTTGGGGAATAACACTACTTTTGAAATAGTTATTTCGAAATAGCAGTCGTGTGGACACTCCGGTGCTGCTATTTCGAAATAACTACTCCCCAGAGTAATTCAAACTAATAATTCCTGGAGCTCTACGTCAAGGTAGCGCATCCATATTAACAGAGCCTGCCTCAGACTAATTTCGAGGCTTCCTTATAGTGTGGACACACTATTTCAATTTTGTTATTCCATTGATGTTAGTTATTTGGAAATAGTTTCCTAGTTCAGACATGCCCTGAGAGATCTTTCTCCCAGCACTCATGCCATGGTCATCCTTTCAGTTTAAAGTGCTGCTGTGGCTGCAATGTAAACTTTTACGTGTAGACAAAGCCTTTGTGTCTATGTGACTATGCACCTCTTTGACGTAAGAGCTGTTACTTTGGACTTGCAATAATGGCAAGAAAATTAAATTGTCTGTTTCTGCCCAAGTGAAGTCATCAGTCAAAAACAAAACCCCACTCGCAAAACACCACCTGTCTCCATGGCTTCCTTTGATAAGGATTGGATTGCTCAGGTGAGTGGCATGAAGTGAGCAAACTGCCTTCGTGGCAACAAATCTGCATTGGTCATGTAATTTGGGTGCTCAGCTGACCAATATAGAATCATAGAATACTAGGACTGGAAGAGACCTCGAGAGGTCATCGAGTCCAGTCCCCTGCCCTCATGGCAAGACCCAGTACTGTCTAGACCATCCCTGATAGACATTTATCTAACCTGCTCTTAAATATCACCAGAGATGGAGATTCCACAACCTCCCTGGACAAATTATTCCAGTGTCTGACCACCCTGACTGTTAGGAACTTTTGAAAGGAAAAATATGAAAGGCACAAGCTGTGTTTGACTTTAGTTCATGAGTTTTCAACAGGAGGATGGTCCATCCAGATTAATGCAGCAGCCAGGAAAATGTAAGTTTCAATAGAAGACGTGCACCGGAGCTTTTTCTTCTGAGGATTTTAGACTCTCAGCCAGACCCAGCACCACACTAGCTCAGCTCTTGCAGGGATGTGAGTCTGTGCACAGTAAGTAACAGCAAATGAGCATTGATAAAGACCATGCACAGTTTTCACAAAGTCTGAATTGTAAAGAGATGTCCCAACGGAGCCAGTTATTACCACTTTGCACTTGGAATAGAAAGGAGTGCTTGCCTGGTGAAGGGACTACAGCGCACTGCCTACATTAGGGAATCCTCAGCGTAATTCAGAGGAATATAGCAATTACCCCACTGGAGCCAACCTGTAATCCATTTTACTATTGTATCACTGTGGGGTTTAGGACTCCCAGTCACAGCCTAGGACTCTCATTTAGATATTGGTTTGTGTCTAGAATCCACCTAAGCTCTTGCCCGCAATAATGTTTTGTGGCAATGTGTTCATCCAGTTAACGAGGCACAGAATAGAAAATCATTTCTTTGGATGACTTAAGCAGAGAAAAATACTTGAAGTAGCCTTTCACTTTCATTGCAGGTCTACATGCTTTGCATTATGGGGAAAGCGTAAACAGGAGCGACTGATCTGCCTCACCCGTACACCATTGTTTTATATACTTCTACCAGGTCCTCTCTGATTTATCTCCTCTCCAAACAAAACCACTGTCACCTTTCTATATTTCTGATCATATTAATCACTCATCCAGGGATACCTTCTGTGTCTTTTTTGAGCGTGGTGACCAGAAGTTAACATTTTATTCTTGGTGAGGGTGTCTCAGAGGCTAGCGTATTTTCAGTATTATTTTCCAAACTCTTTCTTATGCCTCCTAACAGGACAGTCACAGCTGAGCTGCATTAAAAAGAGAAGCTTGCTGAAAACCGCGTACGGAGAGAAGCACTAACCCCCGTCGAAAAGAAAGTGGAAATGAGCTGTCAGGGCACAGGCTGCAAACCTCCGCTCATGCCCATGGTCCCGTGGACTTCCAAGCGTTGTCTTTGATGGAACTACACCCTGGAAAAATGGGTAAAAAGCACCCACCGGAGCCACAAAAAGACACAGGGGACTCCATCTCCAAATAAAGGACCTTGACAAAATAGCTGGAGCCTCCTGGACTATTATCCAACTGGTGGGCAGCACACAAATACTCCTTAGACTAAGGTAAGGCAAAATGAAAGACCCTATTCAGGATGGCTAGAGGAACCACAAAAATATAGATCAGAATGGCTCCAAGGATTAGCTGCGTGTAAAGAGGCAGAGAAATATTAGAACATAAAGAGTTAAGCTATGGTTAAACATACTTTTGCCATGCTAAAGAAGACTGGTTGATAATTACTGTAGTTTTAGGGCTATTTGAATCAGTGCAGCTGCAACCTCTTCAGTAGTAACCCCTGAAACAAGACAAACTGGGTTTATTGTACTGAACAAGTCTTAAAGCTCCTCCCTGATTGTTAATAATTGGCAGCAATGGACTTAACAGCCTCTTGACTACCCTTTTTACACTCTACCTGACTGTGCAGCTAACAATTTAAATCACAGATGCCGATCCTTCTTTGTGGCAGCTGCTTGTTAACTACACGTCCCCCTTTTTCTGTCGCTGGCGGCTTCCATAACCCTGCAACACCAGGGTTAGGCTGGAGAATCACATTTCATCAATATTTAAAATGGAATTAAACCTTGATGTTTGATTAAAGCTACCATATAGCTTGTTGTAATTACTATTTTACAAACTGCGATTGTTTGAATATGTTAATTTGATTGTCTAAGCACATCTTCACCTTCAGAAGTAATTTTCCTTAAAAAAATTTTTTAAATACAAACTCTTTAATCAACTGTAAATTATCACCGGGGCACAATTAGGTAGTATGTGGTTCTTCATATTGCGTGTGGAATTTTATTTCAGCTCATTCATCTTTAAAAGTTCATTCTTTCTCCTTTTTCCTTGGTGGCCTAAGTAAAATATACATTCATGAAATATATTCTGCTAAAACAGGTTACTTTCAGGTTCAAATTTTGAAAATAAAGGAAACTGCTTTGCAATAAAACATTATAAAATCCAAGGAGGCCAAGTTTGCATAATAAATATGTTATTTTTTCTAAAGTTAATTAAATCTAATAATTTGCACATAACATATTTGTTGAAGTCTTGAGGCAAAGGAGGTGGTGCTGGATGAGCCATTAAAATACCTAATTTGATTCTTTTAAATGATTTTTGGTCTTTTTTACATTTCCATCCAAACTGTGATACCCTATCTTGCAGTCAGCTACAAGCCAACAGCAGGCCTTCACCGCTCCGCCAAACCCTATCTGGATCTTTCTATAAGCTCCAAAGGCATAATACTTGGTGACTAGTACAAAGAGAAAACCATGCACTGTTCCCTTATACATCCTATATGTTAGACCTTGATTATCTGCATCTGTGTTAGCGCCTGATCCTGCAGCCCTTCACCACAAGAGTTGTCTCTCTGCAGTTAATGTGACTACGAGCATAAGAAAGAGCTACTTGCCTTGAGCAAAGGTTGCAAAAGGGAGCCTTGCATTGTTTGCTCCTTAGAGCAGAAACTGGGTCTTCTTCTAATCTATGTCAGTGCCAAGTATACTCTCAGTGCTCCATAAATAACAACAGCTGTTCATTCTCTCACATACCTGACTCCTCCCACCTCCCGTGGTGCAGTTTATCATGTTCTTCCATTCCGCAATTATAACCATCTGTGATAGTATCACAGCCATCACCTTTACTAGCCCACTTTTAACTTCCACTGCCCCTCCCCAGAATCTCCAGCATCCCCTTCCTTGCCTCACCTAACCTCAACAACATCCATGTTGGCAAGAAAATGGAAAATATGTATCCAATTAACCTTTACTTCCACACGCACATTCTCACCCTTCCATTTCCATGTAATTGCGTAAATCCAAAATGGCCTCAAAATGAACTTTCCATCTCCTACAAAACCTGCTTTCACATGTACTGTCTAGCTGAACACAAGTCCCTATACTGTTTGTATCAAAACTTTCTAACTGGATTCTCAATGGGATGGCTAACACACAAACAAAGTTGTTGTTCTTGGCATGCTGCTATTTGGAATTTAAACCTTCACAGGTTTCAAAGCGATAATTATATTACGCTCAGGAAACCACAATGAACAATATATCAGCAAACGGCTATGGTTGTTTCAATGATTGCAGTAATTTAGTAATGTGATGCATCTATTAATATTAACACCGCGTTAGCCATGCTAGCTACAGCAGAGAGGGCTAATCCTACTGGTTAATAATCTGCTTTATTGAATGGGGTAAATTGACAAGTAAAACTTAGAAGCCAGATTCAATGTTAAAAATGCTCGCTAGGTTACGTAGAACAGAGCTCTCAATTATAGCTGTAGCCTGCATAGTCTTTTGCTGCAAGGAAGACATAAGTATGTATTTTGCAGTCATGTCCAAAATGTGCTAGATGCTTTCACAGGGAAAACATAGTCCCTGCACTACAGAACATGCAATCTAAAAAGGCCCAGTCAATGAAGGGTGGGGGAAAGAGATGCAACCTTAGGCTATGTCTACATTACCAGGTTACTTGGCAATAAATTATTTTGAAATAATAACTCCTGAAATAACTATTTTAAAATAAGCTTATTCCTCTTCACAAGCAGGAGTTATTATTTCCAAATAATAGGCTTGGTAGTGTGGTGCTTGCCTTGTTATTTCGAAATAAAGGGAATCATTTCAAAATAACTCCCCAGTGTAGACATGCCCAAAATGAGCAGTGTGATGATAGGTACAGAGCTACTTTATTGCACAAAGTTAGGGTATTTTTTTTCTGTGTTAAATACACTGAATTCTGCCCCCCCATGCTCCCATCAACAGTTTGCCCCCTTGATCTGGCCCCACAACAGCCCCCAGCATCAATCCCAGCAATCTTATCCCCATGCTTCTTATCTGGGTTCCTTCTCACTGCCCAAATAAGCAGTTTGTTTGTAAGGGTGTGTCTAAACTACATGGCTCCGTCAGTGGAGCCATGCAGATGAGTGTACTCGGCAAAGGGAAATGAAGCAGCGATTTAAATAATCGCCGCTTCATTTACATCAAAATGGCCGCCACGCTGTGCCTTTATGCCTCGTGAAACGAAGTTTACAAGATCTGATGACAAAGGGTCTGGGGTTGGATGATCCACGTCTAGACTACCGCGCTGTGCTGGATCAGCTGATCGTCGGCACAGCGTGGTGGCCATGTATATTTTAATGAAGCGGGGATTGTTTAAATCTCCGCTTCTTTGCCTATGCTGTGTAAACTAGTTTACATGGCTCCGTCGTCCAAGCCATGTAGTCTAGGTCTTTGCAAGATTATATATGTCTTTCTTATCCCCCTTCATTTCAATTAATTACCATTATTATATGTTTATATTGTGATAGAACTTTGGGACCCCAATTAGGGATCAGAGCCCTAACATGCTAAGCACCGTATAAACACAAAACAACAAGATGGTCCCTGCCCTGAAGAGCTTGAAATCTAATAACAAGATGGATATAGAGAGAAATACAACCAACTGATGGAGGAAGCAAAAGATAATACTAAGATGTTTAGGGGGAGTCTGTCAGATGTAAAACAAACTATGCGAGAGAAAGTGCAAAGGTGCTTCTGGAAAATTTGACAATGAGGCAATAAAGACTGTCCTCTATTTTGAGTTGCTTTAAATAAAACAGCAAATCATGAAAATCTGCAGTATATGGTCTGCAGTAGAAAACGATGCACCGTAGGAGAAATAAGTGAGCTCAATTAATATGTTACTTGGTAAGTTTTTGCTAGTATTGCAGAAGATGCCCTTATTCCAAAGTCAATTGTAGTTATGCATTATTTGGTAAATGTCGTTTATCAGCTAGGCATTGCACAACACACACTTTGAGATAAGTTCTGCCACAAAAAACTCAGGCTGTGTCTACACTGGGCCACTTATTCCGGAAAAGCAATGACGATCTACTGTAAAATTGTCAGTGTTTTTCCGGAAAAACTATGCTGCTCCTGTTCGGGCAAAAGTCCTTTTCCGGAAAAACTGTTCCGGAAAAGGGCCAGTGTAGACAGCACAGTAGTCTTTTCCGCAAAAAAGCCCCGATCGCAAAACTGATGATCGGGGTTTTTTTCCGGAAAAGCGCGTCTACATTGGCCACGGACGCTTTTCCGGAAAAAGTGCTTCTCCGGAAAAGCATCCTGCCAATGTAGACGCGCTTTTTCCGGAAATACTTATAACGGAAAACTGTTCTGTTTGAAGCATTTCTGGAAAAGGGTGCCAGTGTAGACGTAGCCTCACAGTTTAGAAAACAGTCACAGGAAGATGAGAGAAGCTAGGAGATCCAGAGGAAGGGTTTTATAATAACAAATATTCTGTCCATCTTATTCACCTAATATTTTCCATATTTTCTGTCTGGGGGCTTCCTGGAAGTGGGGGTTTGGAAGATGGAGGATGGAACATTAGGGAATAGCGTGAGTATGGGGCAGCCCAGAAGAAGATAAATAATTGGAATAGAAGAAGGGGAAGGGGAAAAGGGACATGAGGGATAATAATAGCAGACAAGATCCAAGACACAGTTTGGAGTAAAACTGAACCGCAAGGACAAGGGAAGCAAGGGGAACAACTTAGTTGGCAGACAAATAAGATACTTTTTGCTATGGCACTTTGGCGGGATTAGAACAGAATGCTAGGAACATCAGAGAGTTCAAAAAGAGGCAGAAGGGCAGTCAAGGGAGATGACAACTTTTGTTTTAGCTGTTGGAAAAAAAGCAACAGGCTACTCACGTTCCTAAGCACTACTTTTGTGTGCAGGGATTATAGGGTTGTACCTATATGTATCTACAGACCTGAGCACAACTTTTTCTTCACGTCTGTGTCTACACTGGCACCTTTTTCCGGAAATGCTTAAAATGGAATACTATTCCGTTTTCAGTTTTTCCGGAAAAGGAGCGTCTACATTGGCAGGCTGCTTTTCCGGAAAAGCTCTTTTTCTGGAAAAGCGTCTGTGGCCAATGTAGACGCGCTTTTCTGGAAAAGAGCCCCGAGCGTCATTTTCGCGATCGGGGCTTTTTTCCGGAAAAGACTACTGGGCTGTCTACACTGGCCCTTTTCCGGAACAGTGTTCTGGAATAAGGACTTATGCCCGAGCGGGAGCAGAATAGTTTTTCCGGAATAGCGGCTGATTTTGTACAGTAGATCGTCGTTGCTTTTCCGGAAAAGCAAGCGGCCAGTGTAGACAGCTTGCAGATTATTCCGGAAAAGTGGCAGCTTTTCTGGAATAAGTGGCCCAGTGTAGACACAGCCCACCTGTCTTTGCTTGTTTTTCAGAGAAGTAAGTCTGCCAGCCAAAAGCAGATCAATGAATTGCAAACAAACTGCATTTGTCACAAA